GCCGCGCCCGCCGGGGGCGTTCGGAGAAGCTGTGCGGGGTGGACGGGTGAACAGTGGTTTGGCGTGCGGCGTCGGTCGTCGGAAATCACGGCGTTTCTGCCTCAGGATATGTCTGCCTACGTGAAAAAAATTCAGTTCAAGCTGCACGAAAGCTACGGCAATCCTTTAAGAGGTGAGTTCTGCGCTTGGGCGTTAGCGCGTGGGGCTGGGATTCGGATTAGTTCCACCGAGGCTTTGCCACCCGTGTTAACACTTCTGTGTTTCCCGCTGCAGTCGTTACCAAACCACCGTATGAAATCACCGAAACGGGCTGGGGTGAATTCGAAATAATCATTAAGATATTTTTCATTGATCCAAATGAAAGACCTGTAAGTACACTGAACTTTTAGCAACGCTTAATTAATTATGGTGGCCTCAGGCTGTGGTGTAGGTTATTGCTGGTCAAAATAAGTCCCGTCAGCCATGGAAGCAATACAGCCTGTTCTTCTGGGAAGTGCATTTAATGGTTGCCCATGTTTTCTGTGCTTTACTGATGGCATTCATGATAGTTTTTCCTGTGCCTGGCTGCTCTGCTGTTCACTAATGCCTGACTGCGTGTTGCACCTTACCTGGGTTGAGCACATACCGAGAACTTCGTATTCTGTGTGGCTCCCTCGTTACAAGATTTTAGAGTATTTTCATTTTGTGTGTGTCTGTGAGATTTGGTCAAGATCAGTCAAAAAGCAGCAAAGGTGTCCTGCTAGCATTAGTCTCTTTCCTAAGAAAACAGAGTTAAGACACTCCTCTAGTTGAATAAAGCATTGAAATGAGTTTTTGTCTTCCTGTCCTGTATCTTGCAGGTTTGTTTTGTCCGGGTTTACGTAGGAAACTCAATTACTGTATTCTAGGGGAAGGGGATGTTTATCTCTGGAAGGACTGAGTTCCTTCTGTCACGTAAACTGCAGCGATCCTTTTGCTTTAGGCACTTTTTTTGCCAAGTGAGGGGAAAACTGAATTTTATGTTTTTCTTGAATATGCAAAAATTGATAACCAGATTAGAAAGGGCTTCCTGTGCTGTTGTGCTCGGCAGCATCCTGACTTGTCGCCTTAATTCCGTTCACAGCTTGACCAAGCTGTCCTGAAGTTGTTTGGGTGTTTTTTCTTTGCGGCTGTTCTTGGAAGGCTGTTGCGGTGTCTGTCGTGTTCTTCCTTTCCAGGCAGTGCCAACCAAAGTAAGGTTGTAAGTAAAGTCAGACCATTCCCGGGCCTGTTTGTGGAAGGGAAGGGCAGTGGGCTGCGTGCCCTCTCCCCAGGTCCTGGTCCAGGTGGTTGGTGGTTCCTCGCGGCTGGACAGACTGCTTCTGCCCCTCTCCAGCTCATGCGGGTTGCAGTGCAGCAGTGGGAGGGTGACTCCACGAGAGAAATTCCAGTGAAAAGCTGTTTGCAGGCCCCCCCTGATGTTCTTCCTTCAGAAGAGGTGATGAGGTCATAGAAAGCACTTCCGACTGGATTCATGGGAAAGTCGGCTTGCACCAAAGCATCTATTTGGAAATGCTTACGAGAAGTTACTCCGAGTAGTTTTTATACACCAATCCTAAACCACTTGCCCAGATGTTTTTAAAGTATCAAGAAGCCTTCGGATAGTTGGCGTGTTTTAACAATGAATATTAAATTTGTAATTTTACTGACGTGATACAAAACTTGTTTTTGCATTTCTAAAATATTTTTGCATCCTGTACAATTGTTTGGTAAGAACAAATACTGCTTGTTGTTGATATCTAGAAGATTTGCATTTCCCCACAATTGTCAAGCTAATAAAATTCTGTCTTTGTGTAGGTAACCTTGTATCACCTGCTGAAGCTTTTTCAGTCTGATACTAATGCCATCCTGGGAAAGAAAACTGTAGTTTCTGAATTCTATGATGAAATGGTATGAGAATTTTTAATGCAATCCTCACTTTATTTTGAAGAGTATTAGTGATACCATGTGTTTTTCTCCTTTGTTAGATATTTCAAGATCCTACTGCAATGATGCAGCAGCTGTTAACAACATCTCGTCAGCTAACGCTAGGTGCTTATAAGCATGAAACAGAGTGTAAGTTGAAAATTAAAATACTTTAATTTTAGAAATAATAGTTGGTTTGGGGTTGTTTTTTTTTTCCTGGGCTGTAGCAGTACAGTGGATTTGGATGCTGCTAAACGGTGATACTTTTGCATTAAATTAGCTTCAACTTCTGCAAAGATACTAATACTTAAAATTTTGTGAAGATGTGATCTGTATGCCTGCTGAAAAGGAAAGAATTACATATAACTTGGTATGAAGAGGGATGGCATGATCTACGCTTAGTTTAACATCTTTGAAATGAGTTAAAACAGAATAAATTAAGGCCACTGCTTTTGTGATAAAGTTCTGTTCAGCTCTTTGGGATGGTAACTGCAAGAAAAGGTCGCATGTCAAGCACTGAAAGACGGAACAGTTAATACAGATTTAGTCAAAGCAGCAGCCCTTTTGGGATAAAAAGTAGTGTCTGGAAGCTCTTCCTGTCCTGTTCGCTTCAGTTGAATTCTTTAACTGTAGGTCAGTTCACAATATACTTCTTCAGCATAGCTTAATGTTCTTTGCATCCTTCTTAACTAATCTGTCTTTAAATATAAACCAGAATAATAAGGGAATTACAGAGATTAAGTGAAAATAGATCGATTCATAAAATAGAATGCATTTAGTGATGGTTTCTCTTCTGATCTTCTGAATTTCATCTCTTCTCCTCTTAGAAAGCAAATGTAGTATTTACTGAGCTCAGATCCTACCTTGTTAGTTACAAACTCTAATGCCATCATAGTCCGCCTCACCTGGCCTTTGGCTTATCTGCTTATCTGTTCTGCTCACCACAAAGGTCGGGTGTTCTTAGAATACCTGGAGCTAGGAGTGGTTATGAGTTTGAAGTTCTACAAAGTCAGGGTTCTGATTTGCCTTATGTCTGTTCAGGGGTGTGGACATGTGAGCTGCTTGTATTTTCTACCTCCGTTTAGCCAGTCTTGAGTTGGATTTTTGTTATATTGCATGTTGTTACGGTTTACGTGTAGAAAATGTTTAATAATTTGAATCATTAAAAAGTCTTGTCCAAATGTAAACTTTCCTCACTTAAAATTTATGGATGTTTCTCCTTAGAGCAGATAGAAATTTTTAGTGGGTTTCTTGTATATATTTCCTTAAAAGTTCTACAGAAGGCTGGGAAGGAGAGTTTTTTTTTTTTTTTTTTTTTTTTTACTACTGCCCACGATGATGTAATGTATGGGATATGAAGGGATATCTGTGACCAGCTTGTTGGCTTACCAGATTTGTCCAAAAACTTGTTCATGAACAGAAAAAAAAAAAAAAATTAGGATATTTCAGTAAACCAGATTGAGATGTCCTAAAGTCAGACAGTCATAAAAGCAAGGGCAGCACCACTAAGTATTTTAGATACATAAATTCCAGTGAGACAGAGAGTAGAAAGTGGTTATAGTACATGGCAAAGGAAGCACAGAATGGTTGAGGTGCGAAGTTATCTCTGGAGCTCATCTTGTCCCACCCCGTGCTCAAGCAGGGCCACCGACAGCCAGTTGCCCAGGACCGTGTCCAAACGGCTTCTGAACATCTCCAAGGATGGAGAGTCCGCAGCCGCCCTGGGCAGCCTGCACCAGGGCTCGGTCACCCTCCCAGCAGAAGTCTCCTGATGTTCAGAGGGAACCTCCTGTGTCCCAGGTTGTGCCCGTGGCCTCGCGTCCTGTCACTGGGCACCGCATATAGATCACTTGTAATTCTCTGTAATTTATTTGCTGCCTCCATGTCAGGTTTTCTTCCACTTAATCTTTAAAAAAACTCTGGAAAAATGATTTAGTGAATTATATAACTCCATCCACAAAACTGATGGGCTAAATGAGGCACAAAACAAGCTTGCTTTTTTTAATTAATTCCAGGTTTTTATTTGGATACCATTTTGACTACAATCATTGAATCTCTAAGGCTAACAGTAAAAGATTTTTTTCAGGACACACCCCATCCAAATTACTGTTGTAATTAAAGAAAATAATAATGACAGCTTTCATGGTACTTAACGATATTTATTTTTCTTTATCACTGCCATAGTTGCAGATCTGGAAGTGAAAACCAGGGAAAAGCTGGAAGCTGCCAAAAAGAAAACTAGTTTTGAAATTGCCGAGCTTAAAGAAAGACTAAAAGCAAGTCGTGAAACCATCAACTGTTTAAAGAATGAAATCAGAAAACTTGAAGAAGATGACCAGTCTAAAGACATGTGAGGAGTGTCAACCTGGTAAAGAGCCTGTACTGAACACAGAATGACTTCAGGCATGGAACTGTGTGTGTTCTCTTCAGTTCTGTAAGGGAGACAATGTGAATTTCACTTGCAAATGACTGAAATACGTGGCAATTGACTTCATAAATGGAAGAAAAGAGAAAGAATGTATTCTTGTTTTATAGTTGAAAGTTGTGGGTACTTAACGATTATTTCAAGTAGGAGGGGGTCTTGGAGACCAGACTACTACTTTTTTTTATTATTTTTTAAACTGCACTTGAGTGCTATATAAAAACTTCGTGTTAAGTCTTGTATTAATTCAATGTGATTTTACAAAATGCCGGTGTTTACGTTTTTTACTTGTTTTTTCTACTGAGTGTTTAGAGATGCAGCTTTAAAGCTAAAAATAAAATACGCGGGTTTTTATTTTAGTATTTTTTGTCTCTGTCCAGTTGTGGGCTTCAAGAACAATTGTAAATAGCGTACCCTGATTTAAGGCAGAGGTTGAAATATAATGGTATGCAAGTTGCTTAAGTCTGGTTACAGTGATTTCTGCATGTCTCTCTCTTACTGGAACAGTGAAAAAACTTTCTGAAAACAGGATTTTAAATAACTTCTGTACGTACAGCTGAGAGTTTCTAGCCCCACATCTGCTTTAGCATATATAAATGCATCAATTATACAAGTTACACTGAGAAGCAGGAAATTATTCCAGTCTTGTTTTGTAGAAGTGTGTGATTTTTTACTGTGGTCAGTTCATTGCACACTATATCTGCCACTCGTTCCTCCTCACGCCCTGCCCCTGCTCCAGTGTGGGGTCCCTCGCCCAGGAGACAGTTCTCCAGGAACTGCTCCAGCGTGAGTCCTTCCCACGGGCTGCAGTCCTTCACAAACTGCCTCAGCATGGGTCCCTTTCCATGGGGTGCAGTCCTTCAGGAACAGGCTGCTCCAGTGGGTCCCCACGGGGTCACCAGCCCTACCAGCAAACGTGCTCCGGCGTGGGCTCCTCACTCCATGGGCCCACGGTTCCTGGCAGGAGCCTGCTCCAGCGCGGGCTCCCCATGGGGTCACAGCTTCCTTCAGGCATCCGCCTGTTTGGGTGTGGGGTTGCTTCCACGGGCTGCAGGTGGAGATCTGCTCCACCGTGGACCTCCATGGGCTGCAGGGGGACAGCCTGCCTCACCGTGGTCTTCTCCAGGGCTGCAGGGGAATCTCTTGGAGCACCTCCTCCCCTCCTTCTTCAGTGGCCTTGGTGTCTGCAGAGTTGTTCCTCTCACAGTCTCACTCCTCTCTCCCACTACAATTGCTGCTGCCTAGGGTATTTTTTTTTTCCCTTTCTTAACTGTGTTATCCCAGAGGCGCTACCACCGTCGCTGATGGGCTGGGCCTTGGCCAGCGGTGCGTCCGTCTTGGAGCTGGCTGGCACTGGCTCTGTCAGCCAGGGGGGAAGCTTCTAGCAGCTTCTCACAGAAGCCACCCCTGTAGCCCCCGGCTACCAAAACCTTGCCACGCAAACCCAGTACAGGTACTTAAGTAACCAGCAAGTGTTCCCCCAGAAAAATCAGTATATGATCTTTTGCCTGTAACGTTGCTCTTTTTTTTTTTTCTTTGGTAGAGATAGAAGAGCCTGCTAGAGATGGTGCTACCTCAGTTTTTGAAAAGGCTTGGGCATCTTTTCTACTGCTTCAAGATACTGTGTTGCAGTAAACTGTTATAGAGAGAGCGTACATATCTCCCATATATATATATGACTGTATGCTCTATAGTTTTAACATCCCACATCCCCTTTCCCACAGAAAACAGTATTATTGATGCTTTGAGAACAAAGCACTCATTTCTTCATAGTTGAAACAATTGGTGATTGGCTTTTACCACAGCTTGGTAAAGATTTATAATGGAAACAGTTTCAACACGCAGTATGTAGTGACAACTGTTAAAACTTGGCACATCTGGTTTATGGTACTATATGTACATGTAGGTTGAGGAACAGCTTGTAGCGGTGGTGTCCACACAGATCCTTCCTAGCACTGCAGCCTATCCAGATTTTTCTGGCTACCTAACTGGTTTGGTTTATTGATTCAGTAGCCAACTTCCTTTTAAGCAGTACCTGAAGAAGAATGTGCTGGGCAATCTGAGTACAGTAGAATGTGCCATGTTCAGAACTGTCCATTGAAAATAAGACTTCCATCAGTCACAGTACGTTACACATTTTAAGGTTGAAAAGTTAAAAAAATATTCATATAATTTTATTTTTTGATACTTTATTATTCAAAGTTTTCATTTGTTGTTTCCTTGTCTTTGATGATCATGAGTAGCAGATTTTTAAGGAAAAACATAATAGGGTTAGCACGAAGTGCGTCCCTCCAAGTATATTCTCTTAGCTTCTTGCAGATTTATTCCATTTTCTGAGGAGGTTTTTAAGGTCCATTTGTGCATGCTGAAACAGCACTGGGAATGCAAAGCACAGTTTTGGTGATACTAGGTTGTATGTGATGTTATTATGTTCATATTTGTCAGTTAAAATGATACTAATGTAGGGTAACTCAGATGGCATATTAAATAGGTTCTGCGAGAGCTGTGACTGACAAGAACAGAGCTGCTGCAGTGGGCTTGAACAGACCAAAAAAAGGAATGGAGTGGTCTCTTCTGAATCTAATGTTTTCACAGGAGCCTAAAGGATTCTTTTTGCTTCCATTTTTAATAACATCCAGTAACCAGCTGAGTGTTCAGTTTTACAGAAGCAATGAGCCTGGCTCCACTGTTAGTAGCCATCAACATGCTAGACCAGTGATGTAATTTTTGTTTGTGGTTAGCGGTTCCTCCCCCCCCCCCCCCCCTGTTTTTTTTTTTTTTTTTTTTTTTTTTGTTTTGTTTTTTCCACTCCTTTCTGCTCTCTGTAAAGATCATACAAGAGTCGTTAGTGTCCCTCGTTAATGCTAAGGCAAGGAAATAGTCCTAACATCTGTCTGTGCTGAGCAGTTAATGTTGATCTTGAACAGAGTATCTTCTGCTTTACAAAGTTCCTTACTATGTTCTGTGTTTTCATTAGAAAATCCTTTCTTCAGATGCTGAGAAAGCAACTGAGCCCTGTATTAGGCTGTAATTAAATTCTGGAAGAAGTTCATGAGAATTAAGTGGTTTAGCATTTCGGCTTGAAAATAAATGTGAAAAAATACCACCTTCCTTGCATTTGACAAGTAAACCTATAGGTACCTTCTCTGCAGACAGCTGCGTGGTTCTCGATTGATAGGTTACGTTTGGATCTGTGTGTTCCGCTGTTAAAAGAGTTGTTGATGCAAGCACCTGAGATGGCATCTGTACATAGCACACGTACAACGTAGTGTTGGCCTTCTTGTGCGTATCATTTTCAACGTCACTAGAACTGAAACAGAGTGGGGCACTTAGGGACACGGCTGTGTTTGACCTCTGTTGCCTTGAGAAAAAGAACCCAAACACTACACTCGGCTTTATTTCTGGCAGCCCTACAAAGCTGTGATTTCAGACAAATAAATGTTTGTGCTTGCCAGGGGTGCTAACTTCAATGCCAGCTTATGTATTTTGCTGCGACTGACTTTAGATTGTGGTTTCGTCTCAAGTTATCATTGTGAAACACAGATGTATTTAAATTTGCTTTCCAAAGGGTGTGTGTGGGGGAAATCCTCCATTGTGCTGTAGGTACAGTTTGGTATCACTGAATCGTGCAGTAATTTGTCCAAATGCCTACACTGAAGCTTTAGATTCCACCTGAAGTAACCCTCTCGTAGGTGAAGATAAAACATGGTTGATCTCAGTTTATATGCTTGCTGTGATCAATTTTACCAATGAGCAATGTTTACTTCAGGCATCAAACATGTAAAACTGGTAGTTACTGTCATTGCTGCTTCCACTGCCAACACTTGGGATTTTTAAGTAGTTTATCTAAGACACATTAATAGTAATCACAGTAATTTCAGACACTGACTGCTTACTCACTTACTACCCAGTATTCTTTCTCACTGTTCCTTTTTTTTACCTAGCTCCATCTCATACAACTTCCTTCTTTCCTTTGCCTTTGGGTTTGGCACACTGCAGTTTACAGTTAGACTGTGCAGTTGTATAAGGCTGTGCCCAGGAGGATTCTCATCAAAAGTGCCATTATCTGACAGGAGATGTGGAAATAAATTTAATTCAAAGATTTACTTGAGAATCGTTGTGGTTAATAGAGGTGGGACTGGAAGGACCATTAAGTCACCTGTTCCTTTTCTTTCTAGACAGATGCTGGTAGTAACACCAACATAAAGACACTTCTGCTGCTTATGCATTTAATCCATATTAAATACAGCAGTGTTTGCTTGTTCCTTAACGGGAATACAAATTTAAGAGCATTTCAGGTTGTTTTCAGACATAAGGTTGTTTTCCAAACACCAGGTGGCAGGTTATGTCCAAAACATTCTCCAGTCTCAACAGCATTTCAATTACTGGGATTTTGGCAGATCTGTGGTATCTTTGGTTGAGCTCATTTGCTTTGAGATTTGATCATCTGATTAGACAACTTGTATTTGTTTCTTTAGAGATCACCAGATTATCTCTTGCATGATACGAAACTGTTCAGCAGCCTTGTGAGCAGATCCAATGTGCTGTGCCAGGAAGCAAAAAAAAGTGTGAATGTTTGTTTGCAGTTTTTGCTCATTTGTCAAGGCAAGCAGCTTTCAAAATACAAATCTCTGGGGTTGTTTTTTGGTTTTTTTTATGCTTTTTCAGGCCGAGATTGTGTGACAATATGAATGAACAAAACAGAACTTCGGTACTCTACCGGACTGCATACTTTGCTTGCACTCGGTTGTTTGCACGCAATTGCAGGTGCAAAACGGTAGGATGTTCCACAAGTAAAAGTTATTACTTTTTTAAACTCAATGTTAATAAGCTTCTTTGACTACTTACCGCTTAATGAATACTATGAATGAACCTTTGGCTTCCAAGTATTTTGAAACTTTTAATTTTCCTGAATACAGTAGGGAAGAACAGCTCAACTTAGGTAAGGGGAAGAACAGAGAATTAGGGTGGTAAAAAACAACAGCAGCAATGAGAAATTCTTGTAATATATGCACCATGATATAGTTTGTTGGGATTCATTTTAACATTCATTTATGATACATTT